ATATTGACCTATTGAAAATTGTTAAAGTGTTCTTTTAGGCAGATTTGTAGAAAATTTCCAATCCATTAAGCCAATGGATTTAGAATTAAAATCCATCCGCTATTGACAGGGTTATAAGTGGTCAAAACCTAACCACTTTTCGTAACGCGGTCGATTTTGGGGTGTTTTATTTTTTAATTGCACCCCCAATATGTTGCCAAAAGACGTAATACTACGTCTAAATTCAAGTGTTGGAGGCTTGGAATTTGTTTGAGGTTCTCATTGGCATCATTTAGGTACATTTTAAGGAACTTGAACATTGCAAAATTCTGGAACTTTGGAGACATTCGCACATTTTTCGAGCGTCAAACACAGATCAAATGTCGAAGTCCTGGAGTTGTTACAATAAATTGGAAATAAAATCCATTCCATATCAACGTGAACCTTAAATCACATCCTCGAGGCCGATAAAAATGTTATCAAAAAAAAATACGATGGGGTGTTGTGTTTATTTACGATTTAGTGTTTAATTTTCAATAGGGCTTCGAACATTATGTTATAATAATGATAATTCTGAGGCTTCTCAAACCCTGGAGGCTTGAAATATAATTTTTGAGGATTTGGGTCCGGGAAAATGTTTTGAGATTTTCAGGATTAAGGGTTCTGGCACTTGAATTAAGTTTCATGATAGTTTTGAAGTTGAAGTTGGAACGGAATTTAAAAGATGATTCCAAGAAAGAAGAATTTTCATAGAATTTTTAGCAGAATGCCAAGATCTTCGTTTTATTCGGATTTCAAGCTTATTGCTTATTCCATATTAGGTTATTCCGTGCTCTCAACTAAGTGTGCTAGATGCACTACCACAGTTGTTAATTGAGAGTTTTCGATGTCTGTGCCATTTTTGCATTAGTATGATTGTGTGGCAAGTAAAATCATACTCTATGCCCAGGGAAGGCAAGAAATTTTCCAACTCGAAAAATACAACAAACCGAACTGGGAATCGAGCCCAGCCACCTCCAGCATGGTCTTTCTTTGTAGCTGCACCTTCACCGACTGAGCTAAGGGAGCCTAACTTTTTGAACAGTAATTTCCATATAAGCTTGAAAAGGCGAGTGCAGCAAGAGATCGCAACCAAATGAGGGAAAATTAGGGAGGATTATCAGGATCTGATTTGAAATCGATTGAACTGTGTGGATCAATATTGCTAATTTGATCGGCTGGATGACCTATTTCTAGCATGAAGTACGTTTTACTGAAGAAAACAGTCGGAATGGAGTCTTAAAATAATTAAAATTTAAACTATGTTGAATTCAGATTTATTAGAACTAACCTGCGCCAAATTTACGCCAGATCATAAATTCAGAAATTGACACCCACGCGAAAATCGCAAAATCAGCGTATTTGTTATAATTTGGGATTCAATGATTATGCTCTACAACTTGGATTTAAGGTGACGCTCGTGAAACTTCAAAAGCACAAATGTCAGCTTCCACAAAACATGCAATAATGTAATTGCTGCTCTCTGTTTGTTGTAACGCTGCAACTAAGGAGTAGAAATTTCATATTTGTACGTTTTGTGAAAGTTGACATTTTTGTTCTTGAAGCTTCACTCTAAGGCTTCCTTGGAGTATCATCTTAAGACTTTAAATTTTCGGTTTTTTTTCCGGTTGTCAGACAAAGTTTTCCCGGTTTAATTAAAACAGTTAATTTAATAAACTACAATTTTTACCGGTGTTTTACAAGAGCGAAGTCTACACGACCGAGGTCTACAAGAGCATGATAAAACCAAAAAAGTTACTTGGAACAATGATTATTGTTTCAGATAACGTTTAACCCTTGCACTTTGGCAAATAGACTTAAGAATTTCATAAGGCTCGACTTATGAACAACACAAATTCATAAGCGTGACTACTTAATGATTTTCTGGTAACATGAGATAGCTCTTATACACCTTTAACCATTTAATTTTCCCAAGCGTTGAAAGACGAGTGATCAAAACAAGGGCCCCGTAATTTCATCGTCTATAGTTCGGTTCTCGTCTGCTCCGGGTTATTATTTTTTTGCCAACGTCATCAATGAAATTTATACCGCTTTATTGTGGCTAAAATTCATTAGTGTTTCTCATGGAATTCTTACGTTCTTTTGCATCAGTGTGGGAAAGATGTTTTGAGTTCTGAGATCAAATACAGAGAATTAATATGAAATTCCTAGGAGAATCCTTGACAAATCTCGTGAAGAATATCAACGGATTTTTTTTTTGGAAGAATTCCGATTGAATTCTGAGGAAAATTCGAAATGAATTTTGAGAGAACGGTTTGGGAATGCTAAGCTTTATTTCAAAGGAATTTCAAAGATGACAAAAATCCAGGCGAGAATTCCATGATAACTCTGTTTGGACTTGAAAGATAAACTTTAAGTGAATCCTTCCATGCGTAAATTTCCAAAGGTCAACTTTTCAAGAGAATTATAGAGACAAATTTATGCGCATTCTTGCGATAATTACTGATAAAACTAAGAAAACTGTATGGTAAATATTAAGAGTTATCTGGACGGGATTCCTAAAGTGGTTTGCAGAGAACTACTAAAGTTTTACTGCACACTAATTACAAGGGAATGCCAGAGAGAATCATAATATTATTCAAGAGATTCCTAAAAGAAACTGTGAAGATATGACACTCTTGAGAAAATTCCCTATATCCTAAGAAGAACTATCTGCTAGAAATCTAGAAATTATCTAGTTTATTAAGACATTGAAAACATTTGAAGACAGAGAAATCCAATACTCTGGATTTGAAAGAAAAAAAAACTTGCAAAGCTTTGAAACCAGAGCTGGTAAATATCACGACCGTCATGTGACAATGAGGTCCTTTCACTATCATGAGCCGTTTTGTCATTGTCCAATGATCATGCTCTCATGAGAATAATTCTCATACAGTTTGGGCATTAAAATGTCTAGCTGATTTAGATTAATTTAGGCAAGCAACAGTATGTAATCTGTAGAGTGAATGTTTTCTTAAGATTGCCGCGGTTCATGTAACACTAATATCAATAAATTAGCTGGTAATTGTAATGATCCCAACACTGTCACGTTCTGTCATGACAAACAGATGGATGAGATTCGGATGAAAATCTCTATCATCGTTCACTCATCCGATGATAGTGGCAGAAGTATCTCTGTAAATATGGCGTGAGATTTGTCTTTGAAATGAAATTTACCAGCCCTGTCTGAAACTTTGAACAGCTTATAAATTTTCATATTTACAACAAAAGATTCAAGATCCCGGTTTAGGAAAGTCGACACGATCAGTAAATCCTCCGTATGACATCAAAAATGTTTGAGAAGTGATCAAGTGATATAGTGGTTTGCAAAGAATTACTAAGGCTATTATGCACAAAAAATTCTAGGGAATGGCTGGGAGAATCATAATATTATTCAGGAGAATCCTAAGTGCAGCTCTGAAGACATCTTAGGATGATTCTAAGTAAACTTTTGAGAAAATTCCTTGTACCCCAAGAAGAACTATCTGCTTTAAATCTACAAAATATCTCGTTAATTCAGACATTGAAAACATTTGAGGATCCTGGACACAGAAATTCAATACTCTGGATTTGAAAAACTTTTAAAGTTCTGAGACTGAGAACAGTTATTAAGATTTCATATTTACCACAAAAGATTTAAGATTCCGGTCTAGGAAAGTCTGACTCACACTACGGGAACCCCCATTATAAGTCTGACTGGTAAGTCCTCCACAGGACTTAGGAAATACTTGAGACTGCGAAGTGACTTAGGAGTATTTCAATGATTTTTAACCCCGGTCTAAGGAAAATTAAGTTCTGGTTCACCTCTGAACAGTACAAATCAAGTTGAGCAAAGTACATACAACAGAGGAATAAACTTAATAAATTAACAGAATTCGATCAATCATATTTCGAGATTGCAATAAGATTCCCGGTTAATTGCCGGTTCTCCCGGTTTTTCTGGTTGAGTGGCCACCCTGCCAATCTGCTCTCCAAGGGAGGAATTCGGATGATGGGTCTATGCAAATTGAGCCTCAATCTCGTTTAACGTCCGCTAGTTCAACGTTTGGCGATTGCTTCTCTTTCCAGGGACTTACACAGCTCGAATAAGAATTATCTAGCTTTCTAGATCTCGTTCTGTCCAACGAAGCTGCAACTCCAGCATGTGCTGTTTTGGCGGCAGTTGAAGCTCTGTTTACACTAGATCCTTCTTTAAGAAAGTCTAAATTCATCGATCTGCACTAACACTCCGAACACGATGTCTCCGGTAAAATGTATAACGGCAAATTGGCAATGTTTGAAAAATCATTTCTCAGCAATTTATCGATAGATTTGAAAGCTATTGATACTGAATAAACCTTTAAAGTATGAAGTTTTAAATGGCGTCAATAGATTTTTCAAACATTGCAACTTTACCGTTACGCAATTTATCGGAGGCATCCTGTTCGGAGTGCTAATAGACTTTAAGAACTTGTGGACACATAGCTTCTAATTCACATATTTTGAGCAAGTTTTTGAATCATTTCTGGGTTACTTGTTGACCTTTCAGTCTTAGGATGGATCAAAAATTTGTTATTGTACCTTCATCCAAAGTTTCGGTCCATTTGGGATCATCCTCTTGCACTCGATAGATTTAGTTATGTAGTCAAGTATTTGATGCTCGAGTTTCTAAAAATTAGGCGTGCATTATTTCTTTTAACTAGAGTGACCGCTTCCAGTTTGTTTTGCCATATAGCACTCCGAGTTCCGGTACATGAAATGTAACCATGCTTCTCATTATTTCATCGTACTTCGAAAAACGATGGTGGAAAACTTCTCCCATCCGTAGAACCCAACGAGCGCAACGGATGTTTACCCATCGAAACTCAAAGAAAAGTTTTGTCTACGCATATCCTAATTTTCCCTCACATCGCTGATCGGAAGATTTCCATTCCGGTGTCTTTCCCGCCAAGATTAAATATAGAGTAAAACAACAAATAAAGATTTAAAAAAACTCCACTCACCTTCTAGCTTCATGCCGACTTCGAGACACTTCTGGAAGCGACAGTACGGGCAGCGCTTGCGCTGGGTCTTGTCGATGTGACACTGCCGCTCGGCGACGCAGGTGTAGACCTTCTTGTTCTGGACGGTTCGCTTGAAGAAGCCCTTGCACGATTCGCACGTCAGCAGTCCGTAGTGGTAGCCTGAAACTTTGTCACCGCACACCGGGCACAGTTCTTCAATGAAATATTTAAAATCAGTTTGATCGCATTGAATGGCGGATACGACATTAAGGTTATTGAGATTGGTCGGCTCAATGGCGGTAGTACCTGACGGGGGGATCGCGAGATAATTCGACTGCGTTTGGGAGATGTTGTCGTGGTAGCCACCTGCGGAGAACATGTAAGGGGAATCAAAGTTGTAGAGGGAATAGCTGTTGGCCTGGGACTGCAGGCCCTGTTGCTGCTGTTGTTGTTGTTGTTGTTGCTGCTGTTGTTGCTGTTGCTGGGAGCCGACTACTCCGCTAATGGAACCGGTGCCGGTTTGGCTATGGTGATGATTGTTGTTGTTGTTGTTACTATTGCTAGTATTGTTATTGTTGTGCGACGGGATTGGTGATTGTGACGTAAGGCTATTCACCACGGTGTTGTTATTAACACTGCTGCTGTTGTTGTTGTTGTTGGTGAGGTGTCCGACGACGGCGCCGAGGAGGTTTCCGGCTGAACCAGATACTCCGGTGGACATGCCGTAGCCACCGTACTGCGGCGGAGGCATTGTCTGGCTGCCGGACATGCTGTTGCTGTTGCTGCCCTGACTGGACAGCGACAGGAGCTGCGTCGTAGTGTTACCAGCGCCACCATGCGGTGGCGGGCTGGTCGAGTCGTTGATCATCGAGTACTGCGACATGTTGAGCGACATAAACACTGCCGAATTCTGGTGATCCATGTCTAATAACATTTCTTCACACTTTTTTGATTTGTTTGTTGATTGGTGTTGGGTTGGGTTTTTTTTAACACTGTTTCGATAGATCTATCTTTTGATTTTGGTTTTGCCGTTGTGCAAACACTCACAGAAACTACTCAATACGAGGAGGACGGATTCTTGCGGTTTTGTTTTCTTCACACACTAAATTCGTGTTTTCACTATCACACAGATTTGATTTTGCTTCTTGGTTGTTGTTGTTGTTGTTGTTGTAATGAGTTAACAGTTATGTTGCTACCACTATATATTCTTAACAAATAACTATGAATTTTCCACTTATGCCTCTAGAAATGACCATACACCCTTACTTAAAAGTAGATTCAACTTATCCGCTAGTACACACAATCACATAAATCGTAGCTCTCGCACCCTTGGATCCTCTCGGTTGGTTGCACTTGGGTTTATTTTTGTATCTTCGCTTCTTCAGAATTTTTAGCTTTGATTTACAAAATAGCCGCCAGTTTACACTTTGTGCCACTTTGAACTTTTCTTATTGCGTATTTTCACACACCAACTTTTTTTTCTAATTTGTGTTGTTGTTGTATTTGTTTCTACTAAGTTGTGTGTTTGCGGATCTTCAGGCTACTTTCCACACTACTCTTCTTCTTATTACTAACTTTTTTTTTATTCCTGTGTCAAACACCGATAGATATCTTTCCAACGGCGTAGATCGCTGTCTTCGGACCTTCGTGTTGATCACGAACCGTAACAGTAGTATGCGTAGACGTAAGATGCTTCTTGAGTTTGCAGAAACTGCTCCATCGATGGAACATTTTTCTTCCACTGCATTTCACTTGAGCTAGCTCAGTTTGAACTGTTTCAGTACTCCATATGAAATCCAGTACTTCTAGGTCATTTTCTTCTTCGCACTTGGAACACACGGTTTGCAAATTCGGTCGCCCAATATCTGCGCAGTAATCCAGCTGCCGTTAAATCCAAATTATTCCTTAGCACCAATTTGTTTTCCTGCGGACTTTGTAAATTATCAAAACTCTTACAGAATTTTGATTCGCACTATCACATAAGCTTTTGAACAAGTTTGGGTTTTCCAGCACTTGGGGGACTTGAAGCACTTGGTAACTTTTTGCGGTTTGCTGTGTTCAGAACACCACCAGCGGTAACTTGTGGGGGTAAATCCGGGTCGAAACGGAGGTAAAATCCTGGACGAATCCGAAAAACCGGGCAAAACTGAAGCACTCGAAGGCGAGGCTGGTTGAACTGTGCGTAGCTCCGCGTCTCGATCACACGTTTCGTACAAGTTCTTGAACACTACAGCGTAGAATAGCTCGCTTGTCAGGGGTGGGCCGGGCGCGCGCGCTCTCTCAGCAGTACTCTGGTCGGTACTGGTAGCAATGGACTACGCGTTCTTCTTCAGGAGGTGACTCGAAAAAGCTCGCGGTATGGCGCACGATCAGCGGACAGCGACGAGAACTACGACTTACGGCAAACATGGGCTACGATATACTAACTCCAACTACTTGACAAAATAATAATATAAAATCCGCTTTTTCGAGAATCCGTCCGAAAACATCGGCGACTGTTTTTCGTGTGGCCGCGCTCCGGTTGTCTTGTCCATTGCACGCCTTGCGACTCGGTGCCGTTCGTTCGGAGTCGTTTTCGCTTTCGGTATGTCTCTCCTTCTCTTCGTGAGCGGGGCTCTCAGAGAGCCATGTGCTGCACGCGGTCCGTCGGTCGGTCGTCCATCGGTGAGAACCACAGCAGGCAGGCAGTTGCATTTGACACAGTTCGGAATCAAGAGCAATAAAGGTGTATTCAGACTTGAGCGAGAGCGAGAGTAGCGGAGCGGACTTCGGGTATTCGGGTGCGCTCGGCTCTCTGAAGATGGCTTGATTGCTACCACGCCACAGCGGGCTTCAAAAAATACGTTCCCGACGATATTTTTCTAGCTCCGCTTGGCGGAAATTCTTGCTCTCTCACTATCTCTGCATAGCATCGGCCGAAGAGAACGAGAATTGACAACATAAAAAATAGGTAGGTACTGCATGACTGCCGGAGTAAGTCGATATCCCTTTTCTTTCATTGCACGCGCAGCTCAGCTGCGGTGCTATTTAGATGGAGGAGTGAGCAGCTTAGCTACTTCTGCATGCTACTATGAAGAGGCTAGCATCCTCGTCTATTATGTTGTAAGAACCAGTGTTACGAATGGGCAAAGGGGAGCACGGGCCACTCACCGGCTCTTATCATTTCTGTACACTTCAAAAGACGATCTCAGAAATTTAGGAAATAAATACAAACATTAGCAAAGTCCTGCAAATTTCAAAGAACTTCGTTAACTTCAGAAACATTTAGTAACATTCACAATACAACACTAAATTTCTTAACAAATTACGGAAGTTCTGATTATATCTTACAATTCGATAAGCTTCTCAAAGGTTTGCATCTTTGAAAATTATTGAGTATTTATGATGTTTGCTGAATTAAAAAAAAGTTTCAAAACACATGTGAAATACACAAAATTAAAGTGAATTGTTTTGAACTCTTCTGAGGCTTACAAGAATGTTTTGAAGTCCACAGATGAAATTATTCCAAAGACCTTCAATTCATTCATAAGCACTCTTCTGGTAGATAAGTTAGTTCAATAGCTCAAATCGTGCGTCTTAGATATTCTGATGAAATAACAGGATGATCAGGAATTTTTCCACAGACCTTAAAGTGATCAAATACCTGCATAATGTTCTCATGATAGTTTGGCAATTCTTCTAGTCGATTCGGTATTATTCTGCAGATTTCTAATTATTCGATAGATAACATCATGAATCAAAGATATTCTATCAAGATAGTTGGTTGATCAGGCATTATTCCAAAGACCTGCTATCGATCAAATACCAGCATAATGTTTTCTGGGTTTTTTGGCACTTCTTCTGGTTAATTAGTAATAATGCTGGAGATCTTTAATTGTTCTGTAGATCAAATAATGCTTCTAAGATATTCTTGCAAGATAGACGGTTGATCAGGAATAATTACAAAGACCTTCAATTGATCTAATACCTGCATACTATTCTCTGGGTGTTTTGGAAATTCTTCTGGTAGGGGAAATGGGTCTTATGTTGGCCTATAGATCTAAGATTGGGATCATCACTAAAAATCTGCTATTTATCATTTTTATTTAGATGAAAGCGTCATTGTCATCGTATAAAAATTACGACTTTAGTCTGTTATTTGAAATAAGCATCTTCAACTATAAATTAATAAAGGGTGATACGGTCAAAATTTGGTCAAGGGAAAACACGCGTAAATCGGTGAAATCGTTTATTTAAAAAATCAAATTAAATTTCTTTTTCAAGTTCAATTAGTATAAAATTCAGGAAAAATATTCAGTTAGGCTTCCGCTTTTCCAAATCCGAATTGCCGGGCCTTACGCTTGACCCCTGCCATCAGATTTTGTACAGCCACCTTGTCCACCTTCTTCGCCGCAGAAAGCCAGTTTGCCTTGAACTGCTGCTCGCCCTTAGCAGTTTTTTTGGTCTTCTTTAGGTTCCGCTTGACAATGGCCCAGTATTTCTCAATTGGGTGGAGCTCTGGCGTGTTGGGAGGGTTCTTGTCCTTGGGAACCACCTGCACGTTGTTGGCGGCGTACCACTCAATGGCCTTTTTACCGTAATGGCAAGATGCCAAATCCGGCCAAAACAGTACGGAACAACCGTGTTTCTTCAGGAAAGGCAGCAGACGTTTATTCAAACACTCTTTCACGTAAATTTCTTGGTTTACAGTCCCGGAAGCTATGAAAATGCTACTTTTCAAGCCACAGGTACAGATGGCTTGCCAAACCAGATATTTCTTTGCGAACTTTGACAGTTTCATGTGCTTGAAAACATCTGCTACCTTTCCCCTTCCTTTTGCCGTATAAAACTCCTGTCCCGGAAGCTGCTTGTAGTCGGCTTTGACGTAGGTTTCGTCGTCCATTACCACGCAGTCAAACTTCGTCAGCATCGTCGTGTACAGCCTCCGGGATCGCGCTTTGGCCGTCGTATTTTGTTTATCATCACGATTTGGAGTCACTACCTTCTTGTAAGTCGATAGTCCGGCTCGTTTTTTGGCTCGATGCACGGTTGTAGACGATACACCCAGCTTATTTGCGGCATCTCGGATAGAGAGGTTAGGGTTTCGCTTGAAACTACCGGCAACTCTCTTTGTCGTCTCAGCGGCTTCCGGTTTTCGATTTCCCCCCGATCCAGACTTCCTGGCTGTCGACAAACGTTCCCCAAACACTTTAATTACATTTGTAACGGTTGATTTGGCAACTTTTAGCGATTTTGCCAACTTTGCGTGCGAGTAGCTCGGATTTTCGCGATGCGCGAGCAACATTTTGATACGCTGCTCTTCTTGCTTGGACGGCATTTTGACAACTGAAGAGTGAATTCCAAAATCAAATTAGGAGCAACATTCT